TTCAAATGCGCGCGCGGTCAGCGGCGACAATGTCCCGATCAGCTTCAGGGCGCGACAACTGTACTAGCGAATAAGGAGCAACATTGGCGTCTCTACAAACCACCGCAAGTCTGGTCCTCAAATCGCCTCGGGCCCACGCCAAAACCAGGTCCAATTCCGCAGTGACCTTTTGCCGCGTCTGCGCCAGACAAACCGCGGCTACGAATGCGGCAGTGCCGCGTCGCAGCCTGGGCGCCGCGCGCGACGGCCTCAAGCGCTCTATCGTCGACGAGGAAGGCCGACGAAGCCGAGGCGGAATAATGCGTGGAAGGGGGGCCACCGTCGCCGCGCCAACACGAGCGCGCTTTTCGCGGCCCGCCTCGACGGGGCCGAAGACGGCAGGGGGCGGCGCACCCCTTCGCATGGATGCCTGGAGCTCGCCGAGCGTCTGATGGACCTCCTGAGTCGCGCGCGCCGCGTCCGCGATCCCGGCCCTCTGCAGGCGCGCCGCCTTCGCCGTCGCGCGCGACGCGCGCCCGGCCGCCAGAGCAAGGCTCTCGCATTCCAGGAGGCGAACGACTGCCCCGCACGCTTGAGGGCCATCCCGCCGCGGGCGGTCTTCGCAAAGATGTCGTCGCAGACGCTCGAGAGACCGCTCGGGGGCGGCGCTGGGCACGAGGGCGCGCTCGAAGCAGCGCCGCCCCCCGGTCGCGGGCCCGCCCGCGCGGTGCGAAAGCAGCATCACGCCGGCGGCGCCCAGCGAAGACTAGGGTTCCAGTCCTCAGCGATCCAACCGTGCTGGCGGTCGAAGAAGAACGCAGCATCCGCGCGTTGCCCCCGAAGAGCCGCCCCCGCCGTTTCCGAGCGATCTCCAGCTTGATCTGGCGCGGGATTTCGTCGGCGCCACGGGTGAGCGCGCCCATTTACCATCGCCAGGGAGACAAAGAGCACTGAACGCTTGGACCGCGCGCCGCCCCGCGACAGCGACGACCCCAGCGCGGCGGAGGCGCGGCCGAGATCGACCGCAAGGAGCTGGCACCCGTCGACCTTTGCATCTTCGAGCCATTTGTCAATCGACGATGTCACACCCACCTTCTCGACGACCTCGGGCGCCGAGATTTTGAGGACGGCGCCGTTGACCTCGCCCTGGAATCCAGCGCCGGGTGGCTTTGGAGGACGCGGTGCTCGATGTGCAAGTGCCTATTCACGCCGCGTTTCGCCCATGGCCAATCGCGTCTCTGCCGCGTCGCTGCGATTTTGTCGGCACGTCCACAGACGACTTCCACTCGGGTGGAGAGAGAGAGAGAGAGAGAGAGAAGAGAGAGAGAGAGAGAGAGAGAGAGAAAGAGAGAGAGAGATACATAGACACACACACACACGCACATACATGTATCTATATATATATATACAGTTACATCCGTCTATATATATATATGTGGAGAGAGAACACACAAGTGTGTGCGTGTGTGTCGAGCTGAGCTTGGGACCGTCTCTCGAAGGCGTCGCGTCGCCTTCGGGCCCAAGCGCGGCTTCCACCTGCGCCTTGCACGTGCCAGGAACACTTTGTACCGCATTCTCCAACGTTTCGGCTGCTGCCATGACGAGGTCGATGGCACGTCCAGCTGCCGAACTGGCATTGACCGAGACAATCTCCGTGGGGTCCGATCTGAAAATGCTGACCTCCGACCCAAGTTTCCATCGATGAGACCATTGATGTGCGCGCCCCGTCCAGCTGGGCCCACGTCGCCCCCATCATCGCTGCTGGCGCGGCTGGAGCGAGACCTGCCATCTTCGCGGACATCAGAAGCACCAAGCCAGGACATCACGAGCACGAGCGCCAGCGGGGTCAACGCCGCCCATTCTCTGGTTTGCCTCTCGTACCCGGCACCATTCGCAAACCTAGTATCGGGGGAACGTAAGACCCGGGTTTGCCGGGACTCGGGTTCGCCATCGTTTTTTGACGACCGCGCCTCGGATTTTGACGAGGAGGAGTTTCGTGGGATGTCTGCAGCGGGAGGCCTCGTCAAAATGCAGGCTCGGTCTCGTCATTTTTTTGACGACCTCGTCGGGGATTTCCGAGTCCCCCGTACCCGGGTCTTACGTCTCCCCGATAGTAGCAAATAACCTACCATGAACCGGACACTCACCTTTTTGCCCGCCAGGCCGTCCGCTGGAACCAGCCTGCTCCGATAGGAACTCACGGGGCGCCGAGAGCCCGCCGCGGGCTCGAGGCATCCACTGTGTGTGTTCCGAAGAAACGGACAAATTGTGCCAAAGGGGCGATGGAAGAGGAGGAGGAGGAGGAGGAGGAGGAGGAGGAGGAGGAGGAGGAGGAACACTGCCACAAGAAGAGGTCAGAGAGGGTCAGATGAAGAATCTCGGGGCGCGGCTATCGGAGAGGAGCTCTTTGTCACCACTGCGGGGGGGGGCGACATCCCACAGTGGGCCAACGACAAGCCACGCCCCGAAAGAAGAGGCAAACAAACGCAGCGAACATGACCAAAAAACAGAAAATCTTCAGGGAGAAGCGGTCGCATGTGAACCGCGGTTTGTTCTTCGCCCGCAACTGGAGACACCGGTTTATATATTATTTGATGTTTGGCTAGCGCTTGGTTCGGAGCTAGCTCAAGACTCGACCGATAAACTGGTCGAGTCTCGCGCGGCGGTATCCGGATTGCACGCGCGCGCTAACTGGCTAATGCATTAAGGATGCTAGGGGGGGAGGAGGAGGAGGAGGAGGAGGAGGAGGAGGAGGAAAAGGAGGAGAAGTAGGAGGGGGAGAGAAAGTCCGCGGCCCTCCGGGAGGGCAACGCCCACGAGCAGCAAAGAAAAATCGAGCACCGTGGGCGGACAAATCGTGCCCCCGCAGGTCAGAATCGCCCTATCACTGCCCTGGCCCGCGGGCCCCTACGTGCCAACTGCTGGAGGCGAGCCTGCGCAAGCCCCAACGGCCGGCCACGGGCGAAACGCCGACGTCGGATGCCGTGGCAGGCCTTGCGCACGACGTCGCAAAGGAGCGCAGTGGACAAGAGGGGCTCAACGGGCAGAGGGACCAGGCGCCAGTAGCGCAGCCTTGAAATGCCATCCCCGATGGCAAAATCATTTTTGTTAAAACAAAAACAAAAAAACGATGGCAAAATCATTGGGGAGGTGAGGAAAAGCGATCGCAATCTCGTTAAACAGAGAGCACTCTGTGATGTGCCGAATGTGGCCACCCCGGAGCGTTCGACAAGCAATGCACGAATTGGCTGTTCCAAATCGCTCAGACGGGCACCGTGAGTTCGTGAAAGTCCGCAGGAAGGAGGAAAGAGTGCAGAGAGGGAGGTGGGGAACAATGTGGCAGAAAATGGTGTTGACGAGAATGCCTTCCTCGTCGGTTAGCGGCGCGGCCCCACTGAAGAGCTGCGCCCGTCTCCTTAAGATTTCCCCGCGCGGGTCGTGCGCAAACGAAACGAGATACCGTTCAACTTGGTGCTGCAAATGCCTGCTCTCGGAGGGAAGCGCGGGGAGTGCGGTCAGACTCGTGCAATTGTCAACCATGCCCCGGAGAAGACACTCCCTCCACAGGGGATGACTCCACCAGGCCACCACGCAACCCCAATCATCTTCAAAGTCAGCGAACAGAGTCATGTTACCCTGGGAAGCTTCGCAAGGACCAGCGGCAACGGAGTCTGGAGCGTCTGGGGGACCGCGTGTCTCCGACACGACTAAGCCCGACGACGGGGACCAGGCCTCCTGCGACGAGGACCGCCGAGGGGCAGCTCGACGGCCTGTAAGGCCGCACGGGCGAGAGAAGAAGCACCGTCGTCATCGTATGGTGCATTTCGGGACCTACTCTCCTGGTTGGCCACCATGTAAGGATGGAAGTAGCATGTCGTATGTTCAGAAGGCCCCGCGATGGGCGTGGACGAAGCCCCGAGCCAGAATGGGGGTCCAAACGCGGGGGCGCAGGAAGATCAGATCACTAGCGGGGGCGGAGAGAGAATTAAGAGGGAAGCCCGATGACCCAATGAAGCCTGACGGCCGAGGCCAGTGCTGCGCTCAGAAAGAGGCGATGGGGTAGGGTGCCCTGCGAGGGGAGGGCGGGCGGCCGCGCCTCGAGCCCGATGCCTGAGCCTCAGTGGGCCGCGCCTTCCTCACTCCATTTCCTGCTCGAGGGGGGAAAACAGACGCTCCTCGCCCTCCTCGCCCTCCTCCTCCTCCTCCTCCTCCTCCTCCTCCTCCTCCTCGGCCGCGCCTTGCTCACTCCATTTCCTCCTCGAGGGGGGCAAACAAAGCGCCCCCATCGTAAGATTGGCGCCCCCCACGTCGCTCCCAAGAGGCCCCAGAAGTCCTCCTCCGAGGCGCCCGAAAGCCTTCCTAAGAGACCCCGAGGAACACACCCTTGAGGTCTCTGGCCCACGTCAGCGTCGTCGTCGTCGTCGTCGCCGCCGTCGCCGCCGCCGCCGCTGTGATCGTCATCGTCGTCGTCTCCCTTCAGAAACGCCGCAAGAGGCCGTGTGCATAAGGCCTTCGCAAAAAAAGCGCCCCCTGCAAGCGAGGCCCATTCATCAGAAACGCACCTGCGGAAGGAACCAAAGGGGGCAGACTGTTTAGGACGCCCGTGATTGCTGAGCAACTGCTAGTTGTGGGGGTCGGGGTGTTTTTCTCCCGTGATGCTCGGCAGCGAGTTGCACAGCACCCACGCGGTAACCGCAGGCACGTCGCCAATACACGAGCAGAACAGAGCAAGAGATCTCGCGAACGTGTTCGGAGGTTTTTTTTAGAGGCGAGAGGAGGCGGTCTCGATTGGGCTTACACCAGAAAAATCCTCACCCAAACTCACTCATCTTCTTCTTATGATGTTCCGCTCTCCTCGTCCTCCTCCTCTTCCTCCTCATCCTCCCCATCCCCCGCCTTCTCATCCTCCTTCTGCCTGATCCCACCTCCTCGTCCCTCCCTCTCTTGGCCTGGCCGTCGGGACAAGTGTGGGGAGGGCTCCACCCGTGGCTGTGTGCCAAAATTGGGCTGCCCCCGAACGCCGTGGTAGCAGCCACCAGCATAGACCGTGTCGTCGGGCAGGTGGTGCACCGCGAAATGCCACTCGAGCATGGACTCCTCCGAGGGGCGGACCTGTCGGCGATCTGGGGCACCACGACCGCTCTTCAGACAGCCGAAGAGGACCCCGGGACGTTCCAAGCGGTCGACACGACCCCTCTCGGTGACCCGAGAAGCTGCAAGACCCTCTGTCAGTGTCCTACCCGCCACCCTAAGGCCTAGGACAACGAAACCTATACATACCCACTGCCCCATACCTGGTCCATCATGACACCCGATGGAGATGTAAGCCTCCTGGGGAAAGGGGTGCAGATCTAACAAAACATCAGCACGCGACGCACAGTCGTCAAAAAAGTGGCGAGTATGCCTGACGCCAGAAGTGGTGTATGCCAAGATCTCCACGCTTGCACATGACACATGTCGAGTGGGTTGCTTGCGATAAAACACATGCTTTTATGCCGAACCACGCCCTATGTGGTCCGGAGTGCCCCCAGCGTGCACCTCTTTCGCCACAGGGTTCGGCCCTTCCTGCTGGCACCTGCAATCGTAACAGCAGGTCATCCGAATGATGTTCCCCTGCTACAGCGGCTGATTCTGCTCCTCGCACAGACCTCTTCGTCTCAATTCGCTTCCTCTGCACCGCTCCTGCTTCTTTGCATTTGCCGTGCCTTCTTCCTTCCGCATCCTCTCCTTGGCGCGACCGTGAGCTGAGGATTGTTACTCCTCTCCAGCTGCTCCAGGTCCTTGCAAAGACGGCGTATCGCGTCCCGCGCCATGAGGCCACCTGTGGCTGGCCCCACGCTACCGTTGCCAACGCCTACGAAGACAACACATCCACACAAAACGAGCGCTCATGCCTGCAATCCTCTCATACCGACCCTCCCGGATAACCCGCCCTACAACTCCAACGTTTTCTAGCGTACTGACCCTGAGACTTGCTTACAAAGTCCAGGGAATGCTGGCTGGGGAACAAGGCCCGACGTGCATCCAACAGCTTACCCCGCTCCTGGTCTTCCTGCTGCTGCTGCTGCTCATGCTGTTGCTTCTGCTGCTGCTCATCCCCAGCTCCTCCTGCCCTTGCCCCTGCCCATTCCCCTCTCCTCCCATTGCTGTCACAGGTGCTCGTCCTCTTCGTTCTCCTGTTGGGAGTGCCAGGGCGCATCCAGCTCCCCATATTGAACACGGGGGCATGCAAGCTCCGTACTAAAGCCCCAACGACGAATGGCGGCTGCCTGCCCCGCGCTTGCCTCCTCGCCGCCTTTCCCCTCCCAGATCGATGTGGTGCAAAATACGGGGTCAAATGTATGTGGTGCAAGCTGTGGATTGTAATACGCGCGGTTCTAATTACTGCAGGAGCTTGAAATCGCCAGCTCCAGTGCCCGAACAACCGTCCAACCAACACGCCCGCAACTCTCTGGCAACACTCAACAGGCCGTGGGGGCAATTACCCATCGGAACTTGGTAATGGAACCCAACATGCGCAATGACGCGTGTAACTCCTCGTGCAAATCCGCCGACCCTGTCGGCGTGTGTGAGGGGCTTTTCCGTTCGAGCCGTCATCTCCGTCATTCTTTGTACTCGTCGTCTCTGTCCTTCCCTTTCCCTGGGAGACCTCTTCCCCTGGGCTCCAGCCAAGCCGACCTTGAGCAACCTCGTAATTGAGTCGAAGGGAAGCCCCTTCCCTTTGATCCCTCCCCCGCCGGGAGGGGGGGGGGGTAGCGACCCCCCCCCCGGGTCAGATACGACGCCCCCCCCTGGGACTCCTCTTCCCCTGGGCTCCAGCCAAGCCGACCTTGAGCAACCTCGTAATTGAGTCGAAGGGAAGCCCCTTCCCTTTGATCCCTCCCCCGCCGGGAGGGGGGGGGGGGTAGCGACCCCCCCCCCGGGTCAGATACGACGCCCCCCCCTGGGACTCCTCTTCCCCTGGGCTCCAGCCAAGCCGACCTTGAGCAACCTCGTAATTGAGTCGAAGGGAAGCCCCTTCCCTTTGATCCCTCCCCCGCCGGGGGGGGGGGGTAGCGACCCCCCCACGCCCCCCCTGGGACTCCTCTTCCCCTGGGCTCCAGCCAAGCCGACCTTGAGCAACCTCGTAATTGAGTCGAAGGGAAGCCCCTTCCCTTTGATCCCTCCCCCGCCGGGAGGGGGGGGGGGTAGCGACCCCCCCCCCCGGGTCAGATACGACGCCCCCCCCTGGGACTCCTCTTCCCCTGGGCTCCAGCCAAGCCGACCTTGAGCAACCTCGTAATTGAGTCGAAGGGAAGCCCCTTCCCTTTCATTCCTCCCCCGCCGGGAGGGGGGGGGGGGTAGCGGGGGGGGGTAGCGACCCCCCCCCCCGAGTCAGATACGACGCCCCCCCCCCGTACCGACCTTGAGCAACGTCGTCATTGAGTCGAAGGGAAGCCCCTTCCCTTTCCCTTCCCCGACGGGGGGGGGAGAGGAGGTCCCGGGGGGGGTCCCGGGGGAGTCCCGGGGAAGTCCCGGGTCAGATACGACACCTCCCTCCCCCACCTTCTCGTCCTTCTCCCCGTTCCCCCAAACCATCCCACAGCCCGTGCCTCTTGCTGCGCATTGCGAACAGGGTCGGCGGCACCGGCCGTCAGGCCTTCGCAATCTATGACTCGGACGGGCTAGTGGCGATGCCCGGGGGAATCCCAGCAGTCCAGATTGAAAGAACATATGTTTCAAAGTGTGGTGTACCATACCCTCGCGCCTCCCTGGTGCAACGCAGCCAGCGCACGCTTGCCGAGGCAATGCAGTGGCACGCTTGCGCGTGCATGTTCCACGAATTTTACTGCGCCTGTGTATTACCAAGCCGATACTGCCGATGCGCCGTCCTGGTACGGCTCTGAACCACTATTGCCTAACCAGAACGGTTGAATAGCTCCAGCTTGAACTGAATCAGGCGCCCGTTATCTTTGACGGATGTCAACATGCGCGCGCAAGGGCGCGCGCTTATGGCACATTTGTCTTTTCGGCACGGATGGCGCGACACGTAACCGTGAACTCCAAGCACCGCTCCCCCCGTTATCAATAGCCCCCAGAATTACATAAACAATTCCAGGAGTGGGAAGCCACCGAGCGATAGTGCTAGCACCTCAATTATTTGATTGCTTCAAGAATTCCTCAGGTGGGGTGGGGGGCTCAGGAATCCTGCAAGAATCTGGACGGAATATTTAAGAATCCCTCCTGAAGTGGCAGAATTCCTTCAAGAATCATTCAGAAATCCTCCGGAACCTTGAAGGATCCCCCGGAACATTCTGGAACCCTTGGGACCGATTTGCAAGATTACTAAAGAATCCTTCAGGGATCAGCCTGGGATCTTCAAGAAACCGGAAGAAATCCATACGAAGCCCCGAGCAACCATCAGACATTTTCCAGGAATCCTCAGGAACCCGCAGGGATCCATCAAGAATCCGTCCGAATCCGTCAGGAATCCTCGGGATCCAAAAGGATCTGGACAAACCGTGGGGCATCCTGCAAGAATCTTGCAGAGTCTTCAAGAATCCTGCAATAACCCTCTGGAACCCTTCAGGAGACCTCGGGGAATCCATCAGGAATCTTAACAAGAATCCTGAAGAACCCTCAAGGATCCTTCATGAATGCATCAGGGGTCCTCCAAGCCCTCCATAAATCCAGACGGTCCTTATAAATTCTGGCTGAAATCTGCAAAAATCCTTAAGAATCGGCTGGGATCCAACAAGAATCCGGAAATCATCCTTCAGGAGCCAGTCTGGAATCATCCGGGATCATCAGGAAACCTGCGGGGATCCCTTTGCAATCCACAGAAATCGTTCCCAGATCCTTCAGAAATCCTACACTGATCCTGCAAGAGTCCTCAGGACCTTCAGGAATCCTTCGCGAATGCTTCAAGACCCAGCAGGACCCCTCAGGAACCCGCACGGAGTCCTCAGCAATCCTTGCGGGATCCTCAAGAAACCTCAGGAACCTGCAGGAATGTTCAAGCATCCTCGGTGATCCTCCAGGGGTCCTCAGGACTCCTCAGGATTCCAGCAAACATCCTCAGTAGTCCTCAGCACACGGCTCAGAAACCCTCTGGAATACAAAGGAACCCATCAGGAAGATTCCGACAAGAATCCTTCAGGAATCTTGAGGAGCCGGCAGGCATTTGCAGGAATCTTTTGCCACTCTCACAAACTATTTAACGCCTATCACAAAAAACAATGGATACGAACGATAACCACTGAGTACATATAGGGACCCCATCGACATACATTCGACCGTACTTGCATCTTCGAACGAGCCTCCATCCCCGATGCTGACTCCCAGGGATTGTTTCCGCTCTCAGAGGCTCCCCTCAACGTCTCCACGTGACGCGTTGATATTAAAAAGTTCGCGGGAGCCTTACTAAACTGTGCAAGCAGACTCATATGAGCAGCGCCAAACAACGCAATAAACAACGCAACGCAATGCGCAGCAGTGCAAAGCAACGCGGGACAACGTGAATCATGGCAACGCAACGCCAATCACTCCAATGCATCTCAAAACCAACGCAAAGCCAAACCTCCCCACATGTTATTTCAATGTGCAACCCCTGGTCAGAAACACGACGGTTCCTGCTCCCGCGTGGCGTAAGACCACAACAGTGTTGGTTCATAATCACTCTGAAAGGGTTCCCCACATAGTGATGTTACCGGGTCAGCGGGATGAGGGGGGCACGACACCGTGAAAATAATGTGTGGTTCCGATGCCCTCCTCGCTCTGGCGGGGGCTCCTTGGAGGGGTGGGAGGGGCACGAAAACGGTGTAAATAATGTGTGGAACCGACTTCGTCCTCGCTCTGGCGGGGCTCCCCTGGGGTGGCACGAAACGGTGTAGATGATGTGTGAGTTCCGATAGTGTTTTCGTTCTGGCGGGGCTTCCCTGGAGGGGTGGGAGGGGCACGAAAGGGTGTAAATAATGTGTGGTTCCGACACCCTCCTCGCTCTGGCGGGGCCTCCCTGGAGGGGTGGAAGGGGTACGAAACCAGGTAAATAATGTGCGGTTGTGATAGCGTCCTCGTTCTGGCGGGCCCTCCCTGGAGGGGTGGGAGGGGCACCAAACGGTGTAAATGATGTGTGGCTCCGATTTCTTCCTCGCTCTGGCGGGGCCTCCCTGAGGGCCGTGGGAGGGCACGAAATTGTGTAAATAATATGTGGGTTCCAACAGCGTCCTCGCTCTGGCGGGGCTTCCCTGGAGTGGGGACGGGGCACGAAACCGTCTGAATAATGTGTGGGATAAATCGAATCCTCTCTCTGGCGGGGCCTCCCTGGGGGGGGGAGGGCACGAAACCGTGTAAAAAATATGGTTCCGATAGCGTCCTCGCTCTGACGGGGCCTCCCTGAGGGCGGCGGGAGGGGCACGAAACCATTTAAAAATTGTGGTTCCGATCGCGTCCTCGCTCTGCTGGAGCTCCCTGGGGGGGAGGCGGGAAGGGCACGAAACCATCAAACGAATGTGTGGTTTCGATAGCGTCCACGCTCTGGCGGGGCCTCCCTGGAGGGTTGCGAGGCATGAACACTGTAACATAAAATGTGGTTCCGATAACGTCCTCGCTCTGGCGGGGCCTCCCTGGAGGGGGTGGGAGGGGCACGAAACCGTGTTAATGATGTGTGGCTCCGATCGTAGCAGGCGTAGTAGTAGTAGTAGTAGTAGTAGTAGTAGTAGTAGTAGTAGTAGTAGTAGTAGTAGTAGTAGTAGTAGTAGTAGTAGTAGTCGTCGTCGTCGTCGTCGTCGTCGTCGTCGTCGTCGTCGTCGTCGTCGTCGTAGTAGTAGTAGTA